GCGCAGACCAGACTCGCTCGCGCAGCGCAGACCAGACTCGCTCGCGCAGCGCAGCGCAGACCAGACTCGCCCGCGCAGCGCTTCGCAGACCAGACTCGCTCGCGCAGCGCAGACCAGACTCGCTCGCGCAGCGCAGACCAGACTCGCCCGCGCAGCACAGACCCACTCGCGCAACGCAAACCGGCTCCCTCGCGCCGCGCAGACCCGATGCATCGCAGGCCACTCGCTCGCCCGCGCGGCGTAGACTCGCCCGCGCTGCGTAGACCCGCTCGCGCAGCGCAGACTCCCTCGCGCAGCGCCGACGCGCTCGCGCGGCGCAGATGCCATGGGGCTGAGCCCTCGCAGGCTCACGCAACACACGAAGAGGCAGGCAGACGCAAGCCCGTGCGCGCAGATCAAACGGGGCGCATGAAATTCCCACGATTTAATTCCTCACGATTTTATTTTTTGCGATTTTTTTGCTTTTTTCCCCCTTTTTTGTAGCGTGTTCTAAAGTTTGTAAACCTTTTGTAAATTTCTTGGATTTGAGAACTCAAATCCAAAAATTTCCAACTTTACCAAGTTCTGCTGCGATTCAATCTCTTGGGTTTGGATTTCTCAAATCCAAAAATTTCCGACTTTAGCAAGTTGCTCCGCGGTTCAATTTCTTTGATTTGAGTTTCTCAAGTCGGACAGTTTTCGACTTTCGCGAGTTTTTCTGCATTTCAATCTCTTGGGTTTGAATTATTCTTCAAATCCAAAAACTTTCGACTTTAACAAGATTCGCCGAAAGTCAATCTCTTGGATTTGATTCGCAGGCCCTCATAAGTTCGCACGTTCGTAAGCTCCGAAGTTCATGAGTTCGGGGTGAGGGTGTCGGAGAGTTTGCGTTGGAGAGTTTGCGTTGGTTTGGAGAGTTTGAGTTTGGCGCGTTTGATTTTAGAGAGTTTGAATTTGGAGAGTGCAAGTTTGGCGGGGTTGTTGTTAAATTTTGTTTTCGCTCTTATGATATATATTGGGTCCTCGTTTGTCCCTTTGTCCTGTTGATGTCGATGTGGATCAGATAGGCACCCAAGAGTAGTTTCAGTGACCTCTACACTGAACGGCTTGCATATGTGGTCGGTTCAGCTGTGCATGCACGCGAGACAGGAACAGATATTATGCCGATTAGAATTTCTGGATCGTATCATTACTAAGTCTTTCAACAATAAGTAATGCAAAAACAAAAAGAAAATTTTTGTTTTGACACTTCAGGTTCTTCACGGTGCTGATCACGATGTGCTTTGGCTTCAGCGGGATTTTGGGGTGTACCTCGTGAATTTGTTCGATACAGGACAAGCAACGCGCGTTCTACTTAAGGCTCGGATCTATAATTGCATTTTTCTTTGACTTCAAACGCTATTTCTATTTCACCTTCATGAAAAGCAGATGCAGATCATCTTCCGTATTGTTCAAGGTTTATAGCGACTCTGAACATCATTATTCCCGTGTTTGTCGACTAGTAAGTATATAAAGATATTCATTTACTGAATTTTCAACAATTAGTACAGCTACGACTTACTTCTAGAGCAGTAGTAGATACAAAGACATAGAGATCACATGACGGTAAAGTAGAATAGAGATAGATTTTCGAGCTCCAAGAAAAAAGTTTCATCTAATGAAGGCTATCCGGGAGGTTTCGGATTGGCGAATTTGTATACACAGGAGATCGGGTTTCTGCCAGACAAAAGTTTACAATTAGCGGACTGGCGAGAGCGGCCACTTGCCCGCAACTTGTTGAACTATGCGCGAAGCGACACTCACTTTCTACTCTACGTGTACCTTTGCCTGTTGCGGCAAATCTACGCAACTACAGGGGAAGACGGAGGAGGTGAACCTCAGGGGTCAGGGGAAGCGGATGGAGCAAAGTCTTATGGCAGCTCAGGTCTGCGCATTTTCAACAAGAAGAAACAAGCTCACTCTGCAGCAGAGGACGTGAATAACGACACTGAGCTCGACACCGAAACTAGAAGTGCAAGAACTTCGATCGTGTCTTCATCGAGAAAAGCGGAACGAGTGCCGGAAGCGCTAAAGGAGACGTTCGCGAGGAGTCAGAAAGTCGCCTTGTCTATGTATCACGTGAAAAATCCGTTCCCGGTACCTCGGCAGTACCTTCGCGCGGAAGCCGGACGCATATCCACACGGCACCAGATACACGGCGGAGGAGGTGTATGGAACCCGACACAAATGGGCCGACTGGAGACCTTGCTGGAATGGCGCGACTGCGTAGCCCGTGCGCTCGACGTCTCCGAGCACGCTGTATTACCTACGGCCAGTCTAGTGCAGCTCTCACAGATGCCAATCGAGATGGTGGGCGAAAAAACGAAAAAACAAATTGGCATAAGCTATTTCGCTGAAGACAGCACCGACGAGCAAATTGAAGCGCGCTTTAGGTCAGAATTCTCTCGCGCGATAGAGAAGACCGATATTGTGGTGCGTCCCGTGGTGAAAGCGGAAAGCGAGACGCTTTTTCGAGTCTGGCGACTTGGCAGCATGGAGAATCGCGGAGCGCGAGCCACTGCAGTGCTCAGAATTCTAGTAGAACGCTATCTGCAAGTCCAGGAAGACAGTACTAGCTCTAGCAGCATTGAGGAGGTTGATCATAACGAAGCAGTGGCGGATAGCGCGGCAAAGCGCCGACGCATCACAAACGACAATCGTAAAACAGCCTCGGAAAAAGACGTCAAGCAGAAGCACGAAGCTGCGGCACCCTCTACAAGCGCTTTAGGTGGATCTCTTGGACGAGATGCCGAACAAGAGCAACATAATACGCTAGCATTAATAGTGAGTCGTGGCAAAAAGAGTGGCATCCTATGGCTTGACCATACTAGCTGCAAAGTAGACGTGTCATCCTTTGTTTCGGAGCAGCCTCAGGCTCAGACCACCTCCTCGTCCGCACCGACCTCCATCGCTGTTACATCCTCAACCGCGCTGTCATCTTCAACAGGCAGGACTTTCAGCTCTTCGTCGACATCCGGACTAGCGGATTTCTTTGCCTTAGCGCGCGCTCGTTCTTTGCTTCATGCTTGGCGAGAACGAGAGGCTCTTGCCAAGAAAATCGTGGAAGCCGAAGACTCATCATCGTCTGAGGAAGAGGAAGACGAAGTGGAAGCTCGACTGACCAGCGATGCGATCGGCCACAAGATTGCCGAATTGAAAAACAGTCTAGGTTTAGTCGGTGGAAAAGGTGAAGAGACGTTTGAGGTAGTCGAACAAAAGGTCTCCGTCGTAGCTTCATGTGGTGGAAATGGGACGACCTCCTGCACTTCTAATTCATCAAAGACTCATTGCGCGGCGGTGGCCGAGAACAAAAAGGATACCAAAAATTATGCAGCCACGACATCTTCATTGATGTTGTCGAATGCATCCGTCACTTTGAGAGGCGCTGATGGAGTCGGTGTTGGCGCTAAGCGACGCCGGGTGAATAAAGCTCGTTCTGATGACATGATGGCGGCCGACGACTTGACAGCGGCATCGTCAACGAACTGCGGGACCTCAAGCCAACAGGCCGCATTAGACGCGGATCGAAATGTTTCCCTAATGAAGCAAGCACAGAATAAAGGTGGTAATACATCAACAGGCTCTTCTTCGTCCGCAAGCCTTTTTGATCTTGCGCAACTGAACATGGCGCAGCTGGATAACATTCTTGACGATTCAACTGGATCTGGCCCACAAGGAGAGGAAAACCAGACATCGAAGAAGGTGAGCAAAAAGAAGAAGAAAGCGCAGCAGCACCATAACCTCAATCTCGATTTAGGATTAGGTGGTGGTCTTGGAGGCGCTGGAGGTGCTCCGCGGGACGATCAATACGGTGGACTGAGACAACGAAACAGAAATACCGGGGCTGCGTTCGCCCCAGACCGTCTAATGACACGTAAGAACGATCAAAAGGGCAAAGGTAAAAAAGGTGGCGGCAAGAAAGGTAAGGGGAAATCCGGTGACGCCAACTTCAGACAGAAAAATCGCTAGAAGTAGAGACTTCGTTTGAGTTCCACGACCGACTTCGTTTTACATTTCAGTACATCATGAACAATTTGAAGCTCTGATGTCGCTCAGCCGAAGGCTGGAACTACTACCCTACCCATTGCAACTGAGGCACAGACGCGAAAAGTACTTAAAGTCAACACAAGTAAATAATTCACTCAAGTCACGCTGATGGACCAGAAAAGGTTTGTCGGCCTTCAGTGTTCTTCGGGACATTACATGTCATTGACGACGATCATGTTGATGAGTACGGTCTTATCGGTGCCAGTAGTAGGTGCTGGCTGTGGCTTCCTCCATGAGCCACTCAGCAGGGAAAGAGTTTGCAATTTCATTCTATTCTGTGTAAGTATTGGCACCACAAGTAGAAAGTACTGCACAGGCGATTGACATGAAGCCTGCATGGCTAGCTTGAGAGAATACGTTGAGCGCATACGTTGAGCGCGGGATGATCTTCTGTATCATTAGACTATTTGTTAGAAAGATGAATAACGACGGTGGAACATTCCGCTTTTCTTTTTTTTTGCATGTCGTGCAGAGTTAGAAGTAGATAGGTTTGAAGTTGAAACAATCACAGCTACGTGGTAATATCGTGATATAGTCACGAAGACGAGTAGTACAGTGACTGAGACTTGGATGCTAACGGCTCGGGTGTAGGTGCTTGTTCTTGATGGGCTGCTTCAATTTTTCGTTTTACATCGTGGTAGTTCATGATCTACTGCATGTTGTCCTGCCGATCCAGATCCCACACCACGTTCACGAAGCTTCAGTACAGGTACAACTAGTACAAGCTTGAGCAGCTGCTTCTTGACAGAGGAAATTACAACAAGAACCACCAGTACAACATCGGCATCTTGAAGAAAGGCTAGTACGACATGCCTTTACCTTCACAAGTCAAAGTGAAAACAGGGACATTCCTGTCATCCTCGGAGGAGAAGAGAAGGCAGGAGCGGGCGGCCGATGATCGCAAACACGAACATTCCGAGCAACAACATGACTTAGAGGAGCAAGAACATGATGCAGCAGAGGCACAGCGAGCTCGAGGAGAAAAAGCTACAAGAGCAGCCGAAGAGCGGCAGCGTACGGAGGACGAGAAATGCCGTGAGGCAAAGGAGCGCAAAGAACAGCGCGAACATGATGAGGATGCGCGCTCTCCCGGTGCCACAGATGATGGCAACGGCGGTCAAATGAATGAGGATAAGGCTGAAGATGTCATGAGCTTAGACGACCCGGCTGTTGAAGCGGAGGAGCAACAGTATGGTGAGGACTATGTGGAAGACTATGCGCCTTCCACATCTTCGTCCTCATCTGGTGATGATCAGCACTCGTCAGGAACACTGCCAGCACGCGAGGCGAATGACTTACCGTCGCGAGATGTTACCACAACAGAAACGTCTGACCATGTCGTGGGTTATCTCTCGCAGCTGGCGTCTTGTCTCCGCGGTGCAGGAATTCAAGATGGTGCAGTGGCTTTTGGCTACTTCCCAGGCAGCGCGATTGGAGCATCGTTCCACAAGGCGAAGCTGTCACAGCTCGCACAGAAGACTGCACAACTTGCTAGCACGGCCTTAAGAGAAAAGCTGAACTTGAAGGATCATGTTAGCACTTCCGGCGCTCTGAAACACAGGGAAGATGATGCATTGGATGTGAGCCTGGTGGCGGAAACTTCGTCTTCGACCGATGTTGCGAACCGGATTCGGTCACTGGCAACTGTTGACGAACGACTTGGTAAACACATGTGTCATCTCATTTTCGGAAAAATGAGTCGGTCTCTCCTGGCGCAACCGCTGCAGTGGGGATTCCAACCAGTAACATCTGACTTTGTATCTTCGGTAACCAGTGGACGTGGCACAACAATACCCTCGAGTTTACCGATAGAGGGAGGGCAGCTGCAAGGTGTAGACTCAGACCAGAGCAGCATGTCGACACTACCAGATGTTGATATTGACGCAGAAAGTAAGAAGCTGCCACAAAATGCTGCAACGTGGCAGGATGATTGGGAATTCGGCGGCGGTCACGGTGCAGGCTTTCAATTACACTGTGCGAATAGTCGAGGCGTTTCTGTGATTCTGCTCACAGCGGGTGGTGGCAGCGGGGGAGGATACAAGAACGGGACGCATGGTGGCGGCGGCGGGGGCGGCGTTCAAATATTCTTGCCCTATGCAGATGGAGACGATAACAGTCATGAGAAGGCATCTCCCGCTACCTCTACTTCCAATATTAACAACAAGAACATCAACATGAAGAAACAAGATCTGTTATCTGCCAAGCGGTGGTTACGATTTTCGATCGGCGGGGGTGGTGGTTGTGGAACTCTGGACGACAAATTGTTGCGAGAAGAGAAAGGGCCAGATGGGACAGTGGACAAAAGTGTGATTGCTTGTGGAATTCGGCCTGATCATCATGTGTCCGCAGGTTCGCTCGAGGCGAGTCACTTGCTAACTCTGCTCAGCAAGGTGGTTCACCAAGATTGTTCCCGATTGTGGATCCACGGAGGAGGCGGCGGTGGCGGGGGCGGCGTTTCTGCGTCTGAGTTTCTACGAATGGGTTACGGATTTGTTTTTCAAGCGGATGTGAAACTTCATGACCAGACGACACATGAAAGCGAAACTTCAACAGAACTTGATGCAGACGAACAACCATCGAGTACCCGTGCTTCCTCAGCACCTTCTTCTTCTACATCCTGTCCATTGAAGAACTTCGACTTCTCTCTGTCCTCTTGGAGTCAGCCTGGCGTTCTTCCCCCAAGGGAACTGCGTTTGTTGCGCGACGATCTAGCCAAACCGAAGCCGACAGCTGTCGAACTGGCGAAGCCGCTTCAGCCGCAGAGTTGGTGGTCCTACTTGCCACCGAAGGCACGAGCGCGCATGATCAAGCAGAAGCAGGCCGAACGCGGAGAAGCCTGGAAGTATATGCGTATCGTTGAACGAGTGGGGGAGCCGGAGCCGGGGGAAGACAAAGCTTTTGACTCGGCCCTTTACGGATTCAAAGGGGACGACGAGCTAATTGGAGCTTCTTCACCAACTTCCACCTCAACCGTAATTGATGCACCAGAACATCAACGAGCAAGTCCTTTTGCTGATGATGACCTCAAAGCGGTTTCCGACCTCACACTGGAGGGTCTCAGATTTCATTCCGGCAGAGAGGCGATTGAATTCTTCCGGAACCTTTCCGAGGCAGATCATGGCCAGCCTTACTCAACTTCATCTACTTCTGCGGGGTTGGCTAACACACAAATCAACTTGTTCGAAAATGTGTCCATGGTGGTGTCTGAGATGATTGATGATCAGAACAGTAGCAGTAAGTTAACAACATTCTCAAAAATGAACAACAGCTCTACTTCATCCTACAGGACTCCACCCATCTCAATGGTGAACAACACGATGCAAGCATTGGACGACTGGTCTGCTGCGAGCCTCGCGGCAGTGAATGCAGAGCCCATGTTCGCGAAAGTTGCCAGTCAAAGCGTGTCCACCGGCATCGTAACTTTCTGGCTGGTGCTGGATTTGTACCCCGAACCGTTTTCCATCCCGTTTCTGTTGTGTTTTATCGCCTTCGCTGCGGGTTTCATGCAGGCTCTGCGTGAAAACGACTTGGGTGATTGGTTCCAGTACGTTGTGTGGGAAGGCCTTTGGGGTAGCGAAGAAGAGGATCATTACACTTCCGACAGCGGACAAGCGGGAGACACCTCCGCAGCAGGCGTTGAGAACATCAACGTGGCGAACAGAGAGGCAAACGGACATCAACGTGTTATTGACTCAGCTTCCACATCAGTGGTGCCTGCACTTGTCGTACACCGAAACAACTCGAGCACATCCTGCTGACTCAGTTGTGACTACACCTGTTGCAGTCGCATAGGTTGTATATCAAGCCAAGCAACTCCGCACACTTGTTCTTTCGTTTACCCATAGAGAAATACATTCTAATGGAGAAACGACAGCGATAAACTTGCACCGCGCGGTAGAAGACGAATATTGGCATGCACGTGCACGATGAAGATGTGGGTATTCTAGTGCCGACGAAAATACGTATACGACAGCTAACACAGAATTATCAACAGACTCAAATAAGGGCGATGAAAATAGAGGAGGACATACATACTCAGAATCAGTAGAGGAAGAAGATATCATGACTGTCGAACTCGACATGCGTCCCGAATAAGTATGTAATTGTATCAATTCTGATTTCTTGAATTTGCAAGCCGAAGCCCGGTCTTTACCTTTGTTACCCAAGGGGCCACTGCAAGCCTGAAAATGCACTCCCGGTGCAGTTTCTCTCTCTAATGTCAGAGTGCGCCGTCCAGCGGCACCACGACCACTACATCTAATGACGAGTGAATATCGGAGGTAAGTACTTCTTGCCTGTTGTATCAATACTTCATCTTCAACTTCTTAGTAACCCAGAACAACATCTAACACAGAAAGATGACCTGGATCTCGCCCGCACTTTAACGGCAAGAAAACTAACCAAATGAAAAAATGATAATGAATAGTAGAATGAATCCCTCGTCCCCATGACCGCACTTTCGTTGAAGTAACTTCTGTCCAAAAGCTTAGCAAAGTGAAAACTTGTCCCTACTTTCTTGTGATCATATGCGGCCTGAAGGCACTGTAAAACCAAAGCAGCAAATTGTGTAATAAAGTGGACACCATGATCAAAAATATCAAGTACTAGTTGTAGATATAAAAGAAAGATGACCGCGCTCAACTCCGAAGATAAATTCGCTACCTTGTTGCCATGACTTCGTGGCATGCAAGTTGTACACGCGGCACTTGGATCATTGGGTATCATTTGTCTCTCAAAACCAAAAGTCGCGTCGTCTGTACTGATGTTTTTGGAGAACTCTGTAATAGACCATAGCCATACTAAGCCGGCCTAAGCTTGGGCCTATCTTAGACCCTCGCAGTGTGTCTCATGGTTACGCTATGCGATGCCGCCGGAGTAGCGTCAGATCTGCCAAACTTGCACGAGGAAAGAGAATGGACATCATGCCGCTCGTGTTGCGTGTGTCTCTCTTGTGTTGTGCTTGTGCTTGTTCTGTCTTGGTCGTTCTTCGTTCTTGTGCTTACCTAAGTAGTTAGCTAAGTAGGACGCTGACGCTGCGGAACTAGATCAGAAGACTTCGGACCTCGCCGGGGACGTGGGTCAAGGTTCGCAATGGGTCACGGAGCTTTTTGCTTTGTGCCTGGCTTTTATTCATGCTCATTTTCAAGATGTGAGTCTCTGAAAGTGATAGGAATAGGAAACACAAACACAGACAAACGATCACTTCAGTCGCATTGTGGTCTATCCTGTCATTTGCATGAGATTGATGCTTTTTACGAGGACGTCGCCACCGTTCCGGAAGTATTGCAGTTTGCTTGGTGATTGCATAATTATCACTACTTGAAGAAATCTTCGCGGCTAGTATTGAGTAGATATGCTTCTTCGCGGAATCATCCCGCTGCTGAACCAGACGCGGCTGATGTGTTCAATCATTTTCACGGTCGAGAGAGCAACATCACAGAGTCTTGGCAAGCCGACCTAGGATCAGCCTCATCAGCAAGAAGGTGGAACTAGAAATCTGCCTGATGCAGCTGTTTGTCAGTAAGATGATGAATCACGCACGATAATGAATGACTGCCATTCATTTAAGTTGTGAAAGTCCTATATGAACGTCGACAGAAAGGGACATGGACTTGGACATCATGGATCCTGTTCTTTGTCTAAGTTTGAAAAAACACTAAAAGATGAAACTAGCTGCGGCCGCTACTAGAGTAGCTATTCTTACTTACTTACTTAGTTGATAGAAATAGTTACTCAACAAGCACAACGACAAGGCATCAATTTCCAATAGTGAGAGGACGAGGGAGCGCATCAAGATGGTAGTGCCCCCACCACCACCTCCTGCTTCAGCACTCTTTCCTGAAAAGGAGCAAAGCGCGGGACTAACCTCTCGCGGTGCCTATCACACTGTTCCGTCACGGGAGGATCTTTTCAGCTGGTCGAGAACGTGCGAACGCGAGGCACAGACCGCGACGTCATCTGCTCGTCGAATGAGCCTCGGGCAGAGAAGTGACGATTGTCATGGTAGTGCTTCCGCGCAACGACCGAAAGAACAGGAAGAACAACAAAACTACTCGTTACTGCATCCTACTCGTCATAAAAATCAGACGACTAGTTGTAATACTACGCCTGGACGACGAGATGGCGTGACTCTGGGGCGCCAGCTGCAGCAGTTCTGCAAGGAGGAGGAAGAAGCAGAACGACTCCAGCGCGGTTACGACAAGTACAGTTCTGCGCAACTCGAGGACAGGTATATTTCCACTCGTGGGGTAATATGTAAGGACTTCGATAACAACACGGGATCATACAAGACGCAGCAAATTCCAACAGTTGTAAAAAATGGGAATCGTAAGAATCATGATCCAGCACTACAACTTCGTGGTGTGCATGACCATGATGACATCAAGCAGCCTTACGATGATCATCTTCGATCTTTTCCTCGTCGGTCGAGCTCCAGAGTAGAGGTCTTGGATGAGTCGCCATATACGCAGTCTCTAGCCGATAAATTGATCGGTAGACGCGTGTCGGATCTGTCAGCGGATCCAGTACCAGAGGAATACTATCAGGAAAACTTACGTCAAGACCTTCGTTCTACGTCGCGCAGGAGGTTCATGAGTAACCGTCACAACGAGAACGAGCGTGAAAATTTTGACTTCGAGCGAGCCGGCCTTCAACACCTGCACGAGGGCAGTTCTTACGTGGAAAGTCCCAGTTCGTATTATCCCGACAACGACAGAGAGGAAAACCTCTGCTCTCAACACGGCGATCGTAGTTCGCACAATCCTTTTGTCGGAGATTACACGCCGAAAACATCAACTTATAGCAGGAAAGATGAAGAAGACCATATCTTGGGGGAGCGAGCAGGACAAAAATACTTCAACATGCATCCGACATCTGGGACACCGCCAACTGCCTTTGTCTCCTGTGATGCACTACGACGCTTACATGAGTGCTTGCCCGTTCCTCAAGGGCTTTCGCATAGCATATTCGGTCAGCATGGAACGAGTTCCGCTTCTAGCGCGCTCAATGTTACTGGAGGAGGGCGATTGTTGCGTATGCACAACGTCGTTGCAGGGACACCGCAGGACAAACATCCTCCGCCGACCCATCCTTTGACCACGACTGCTTTATCGTCATCTGCAACGCCCACATCTTCAGCATCAAAGCTGAACCTGACAGGCGACAGAAAGAATGCGGCCGCGATGAAGATTGAGCCTGCTACTAGCTACGGATGCGCCGCAGCGGGCGTCGCCTTAGAAGGAGCATGCTCAACCGCGACAACGTCTTGTGTGACGTCTGGGTCGGGTGGAACTCCGGTGTCGTCTTCAATGAATACGTCCTCATCTGTCGCCATGACACGACCCGCCTATGCTTTTAGTCCCTCGACCACTTTCGGCTTCGATCACGTGAAGGCTTCAGCGGGTCACGGCGCCAACGTTGTACCACTGGTAAACTTGAATCGGATAGTTGCGCGGCCATCATTGCAGTTCAGTCCAGGCAAACTTCTGGTCGGGCCTCCAGGCGGTATTATGATTGTGATTAATGATAACGACTGGGTCTCGACGATGATTTTTTTGTGTCTACATAGAAGATAGCCTCGAATAAATGGAACGACCCGCATCCACCAAAAAGATACACGGTAATATGCAACTACGATTCCTGCAACTATATTCAGGTTACGCCTCACCGAGTGCGCTGCTTTCTGGTGGGCCGCCGACGTATCGGCGCAACGAACAAGTTCAGCAACAGCGAGAACAAGCCACATCGTCAAGGAGGGAACGGTCGGCTCACACGACTGTAGATACGAGAGGCAGAGGCAAAACAGATCTGGTGCAAAATTCTAGTACAAACGCCGTTCTGGACAAAGTTGCTCACTCATCTTCTGAACGCACCACTTCTACTAAAGGTAAAGTTGATGGAGACCATCCACCTTCTATTGTCGACGGAGGACCTTCAATATTAGTGCGTCCCCGACCTGCACCTGCGCCTGGCATTCTTGATATGGCTCGAACCAGGGGACGAGCTCCGAATTTTGACCCAGCGACCCTCCGAGGTGTCTCTCCACGCCTGTTCGTACAGCCTTTAGTGCCACCTGTTTCGTCCAAACCTCTTTGTACTCGCCAGCCGATGCTGCAATCTCCGACAGCGGCAAAAGTTTCAGCATCATCAGATAAGAGAAGTTGTACAAAAGCTGGTGGTGGACGAGGATGTGGCTTTACTGTTACAACTGGTGCAACAAGCAGGAACTTCCACAATCTTCATAATCAAGTAAACAGAGCGACCACTCCGAACCCGAGCGGCGCTACAACTAAGACTTCTAAAAACGAGAGCAGCAGCACCGGAAAAACTGGCACGATAGACGCTGTTTTACTAAAAAAACTGGAACACGAAGAGGTGCAAGTGACGCCTCAAAAACACGTTCTAGTTCGAAAACTGCACGAAGACTACAAGATGAAGACCCCGGATGTTGTTCAACAAAATGCAGCAAACACTATGAGCAAATCCAGAAGCGTCGTAGTACGAAAGTCTCGTACTTCTCATCAGCGAGGACTGGCTTCTTCCCCAATCTCGACCAGCATCACGATGTCGAAAACTCCTGGAGCCAAAGCCGCCAGCCACTTGCATCAGCAGACATCAGTACTGGTTAAAAAGAAGAGAGACTGCTCTTCTTCAGCAAGCGGTGGGCGCCGTACTAGTTTTCGAGCCACACTGCAGGACACAGAGATAAAGGAGGGGGATGTTGTTCACAGCTTGAAGGTGTGCGACGAAGGTCGTGCTCAGCAAGATAGCCTCGGGAGATGCCACAATCTGTTGCAACAACCTAGTACACGAGCCTCGCAACGTAGCTCGTCTTCATCGTTCGACAACAAGAATGGCGAGACGACCGCTACCTCAGCGATACCTGCTCAACAACATGCACATGACAAACCTGCGTCCTCGACGTTGACTTCAGTACCAGCATGTAAGACGAAAGCGATGTCCTCCGCACGAAGTTCGGTGACGAGACTTCTTGAGAACAGTGCCATCCATCACGCAAATGAAATCTCCACGGTTACGGTTGAGCCCTCAGTGGACGACAAAGATGATTCTTCATTTGGACCTCCACGTGGGGTGATGGAACAAGTAAGTAGGCTTAGGACACGCACGACGCCCAGAAATGATAATGAAACCACCTGGACCGGACCACCACTACAAAGAGGAGGCCAAGAGCAGGATAAAGCACAGCGGAATACACACACAAGCACACAGCGACAGCGCTCTGGATGTACACCGAGTCGATTCGAGAGACCGCGGAGCAAAGGTTCGTTACCAATCGCCGGTTGTGAACAATTTGTTATGATGTACAACGAATTCGAATCGGATGGCGGGGTCGACGCAGTTAATACAACACGCGGCGGAGATAGAGGTTCCGCCGACGCTGGTGGAAGTACTCCAGTATCTCATGCAGAGCATTATTATCCTTCAGAGAAGTTTGCAAATGCCGATACCATTTTAAGTACGAAGATGCAGCAGAAACAGGAAGAGTCCTCGTTAAAGCTAGAAGTCGTAGAAGATGCGATTGATGAATCTTCAGATACTGCTCTCGGAGAGCACCACAACTCTGGTGATAGCAAGCTACTGGGTTCTGCAGAGCTAAAACGCACACCATCGGATCAGGCTTTCACGACAAGCCTCTTTACGCCAGACACGGAGGAACGAGCTGCGAGCAAAGTCGGCAGTGCAAAACTCGTTTCTTGTGTCGCGAATTCAGCTTCCTCTTCACTGGGTGAACCAGGGGTAGAGCGATTTCCTACGGCACCGGTAAAAGAAGATGATCATCGAAGTAAAGCGAGGGCGGACGAAGAGATAATCGACAAGCGCGGGTCAGATCAAGATGACGCGCGTTTTATGGAAACTCCTGCTTCTTGGGATGGCGCACACGCACACGACGCGCCAACAGAAAACACCGAAGGTCCAGCAGAGGAAGTTGTAAACACGCACGTTGAATGTGCCAGTATAGAGGAGATATCGATGGTAGAAGATGCACGAGATGAGGATGCTCACGACGATCACCGTGAAGAGAGCGAGAGTTGTCAATTCATAATGCCCGACGTGCCTTGTTCTCACGCTTTTCTTGGTCACGTTGATCACGACCAGGACAATGATAAACTACGCGCAGCTGGAGATGATGCACCTGTAGTCGTGGTGCAGGAAAGAAAAATGGAAGACAATGACCTGTCATCAAAAGCTGTAGTTAATCCAGACGAGCTGCACGACAACTATTTGGAAAGCAGCCCGTTGCGCCTCTTGAGCGATAGCTGCCTTTCCAGTCCGCTTCTATCGCCTGAGCATGCACGAGCACCAGGTATCCTAGATTCCTGTGATGTTGAATTGTTCAAGACTGAATTCGGTCCACTGCTCCTCCTGCCTACCATCAACATCGTCTGAACGATGTTTGTTTGCTTCTTTTGTTCGATGACGATTAGCTGCTCTGTGAAGTCGTTCTTAGTATTCCGATGATCTTCCTGTTCAAATTATTCGCTGTCGCTTCATTGAGTAAGACATACAAATGCTCTCCATCATCACCAGGTTTTTCAAACCACGACATTAGAGCGTCCACAGAGGACGGACTCGCAGGCAGGCACTCATCAGAAGCCTCCAACATGCGGTGCGGAGCACGCTGCGGTTACTTGGCGGATGCAACTCCTGAAAATTCAACGAATTCGATTCGGCACCAGGCCAATGGAAGACAGCTCTTTTCTGAACAAGAAGTGTCGATGTGCGGCGTTGATGAAGCGAAGGGAGAGGAACGAAACCGAGCGCGAGATCAACATGAAGATGAACTGAACTCGTTAAACATCAACTACTGCAAAGAACACAACTTCATGAAGAAAGAGGCTCTTATCCTCATGAAGGACGATAGCACGAAGTCGCTACTTAATGCGTCAGTGGAAGCGGCTGTGGTGGCAGAACACGGAGAAGCTGCCCGCCCCATAGTTCGAGCAACCCTTGCAGCTTTGCGCGAGCTACGCAGCTCTTTGGATGCTATTTGAGGAGGCCACTGAAAAAATGAGGTAGGCACTCGACCGACGATAAACCAGAAAGCAAATAATACTAGAAATCAAATTTCTACATCACTATATTTATCTAAAGGATCATCTACACTATCATCATCATGAGATGAAACCCGACGCTGCGTCTGTTAACTGAAAACGCTTTTATAAGCGTGTTTGCACCTGATTATCTATTATACGATTCTGTTATAGAAGGCTTCAACTACAGTGAGCCAGACCGGGGATGAGAGCAGATTGGTAAATAACAAGTTTGAAAACTACGTACAGTATAGCTCTACGTCAAGAATAAGTGGCACTACAAAGGCCTGCTTAGGTTTTACGGCCTGATGTCTGAAAGGTTTAGTGTCTTGTTGCAAGTTCTTGCCGTCGCGTTTATTGATTTAGTCGGACGAGGCAAGATAAGCAGTGGAACCTGGAAGAGATGAGAGACGTTAGTAAATCACGGTACACTCCGGTGCTTAGCTGAGATTCGTTAGCTACGCGATGGTAGCTCCAATGTCAAGGAAAAAGCAACAACAATAAAGCTGCGACTAGACACCCAACAACGTGTTTGTTGAATTTTGAGAGCAAGAAGTAGCTTCAAGTAGTTCTGTCAATATCTATGTTGGCGCAGATAAAATATTAACCTTAAAAAAGTTGAAGAGAAGTTTTTCTTGTTCTTTGATATGCTTGAATTTGCTGAGGCTGGAAGTTGATCGTTGAAGACTAGAAAAAGCATTGCTCAGGAATACATAGTATGGGGGCTGGCTCTTCGGCGGCTGCCGAGCCGCCACCAGTGCCACATGGAAGCATCGTCATAACGCAGCGGCTTCTGGACAAGAATCCGAAAACGATTTTTTTCAGCGCGGCAGACGGGCAAATAGAAAGTGACGAGGGTAACTACTTGGAAGAGGGATTTCCCGCTACTTTCCTCCAAGGTCAGTCCTCAAGCGCAGCAGCAGACAGTCCTGAGGAACAACGACATCAGGCTACCGGATTATCGTCTTCATCCGGATCCAAAGCGGCGGGCGCATTACAAGTGGCCTTGACAAATGGCGCGAGCACGGTGATAATACCAGATACACTTCCGGAGGAGATGCAGCTCGAGCTTGTGCAGACCAAAAATGAACTCGTAAGCCGCATGAATGAGCTCGAGAGAGATAGGATACGGGAGAAAACGGAGAAGCTCAGAGAGGTACAGCTTCCTTGCAGTAGAGGTCGATTGTTCACATCGAAGTGACGTATTTGTATTTTCGACAATGCTTGTTGTTGTTTTTTATGTTTTGACTTCTTCATCTTAATCTATCCCTATGCAACACCTCGTTTTTTCGCAAAAGGCACAGTATAGGGCAGATTCTTCGTTTCGATTTCTACTCTTCTCTGCAATAAAATCACATGACGAGGTACTCAAACTGGACACCTTGCGAAAACCGCGACCGCATCCCTGCCCGCAGGAGGAAAAACTGGTCATAAATTGCCTCGACATGGCCCAAGATGTTTTACGTTGTGGCGATTACATAGACGCGTACCAACTGTGCGCTGCCAAGGTCGCGTGACACCAAGACATGGCTACTTTTTCACATTTGTAATTGTATCGCGAAAACTTTTTATCTTCTTTTTTCATTCGTTCGCCTCGTCCTTCATGATGTGAGCAATTTTTCTAAGGTTCAATGAGCACGCTTTCTGCAGAGCAGCCTGCAGCTGCTATCTTCTTGAACACTTCTGGAAAAACCAAGCGTGCGAAGCGTCGTTATTCTGATGTGGCTCAGGTTGAGTTTTGATATAAGCAGTATCCACATGAATTGATGTTTCGATAGTGGAAACACGGAATGCAATTTTCTCCAACCAAAGTGAATAGTGTTGAGCCACCAAGAATGAAAGAATGAAAGAGAGAGATAGAGAGACTTCCGATAGAAGTAAAGACTGAAGATGTTGCCGAATATGCTTTCATGTCGTGTGCCTGCCTGTCTTCCAGAGCGAGTAGCGTATGTGAGATTATCAGTTCTCGAGGCAAGCGGAAGAAGCAGCCACGTTTCTACCTTGATAAAACATTGAAATCGACCCTGATTTTTCTTTCTTCATGTAGTTGTCCAGTAATAGTAAATTGGTTGTAAACTCAGTACATAGATTCAGAGTTAGCTCCTCTTCATATTAATCACTAGGATGGCTTTCTTCATTATTTATTATGTGTTGGGCTCGAGGACTTTTGCGACGGTGCAGGATTTTGGTTTGAGCATGAGATGATGAACCCAAACCTGAAGACCGGCAAAAACCAAGAAGAAGAAGAAGCCAATCCATATCAAGAGTTGTCGTGCCGCGCTGACAGCTTTGGTTCTGTAGAAAAGGCGCAAGCAGTTGCGTTCGAGTTCAGAATGGGTCCTACGTCCACGGCATTAACTGCCTCTGGCGTTGGTGGTACTGTAGTGGAGCGAATACTCATCTGGAGGATCATAGGAGGTCTGATAGACGTTCACGCATTCGTGAGTATGCCCTCAGGCCCGGCGCGATCGCTCGAGCACTTGAGTATTTCCGAGTTCATGTGCACCAAAGTACCGTGCGGGCGCTCGCTGTCTCATCTGTGGCCCACCGAGCTACTTTTTTCTTTGAAATAAAGCTACATTGGCTTTTTACGAAGTTTCTGTCTTCGCCGCAGTATCTTGTTTGGCTGGACAGTGTGGTTCCCTTGCTACCAGGCCTGGCGTACGAAGGGGCAGAGGCTGAGCAGGAGCGCATAATCCATCATTTCTCAACGGCGGGTACGTCGCAAAGTTGTGCTACAGCAAAACAACAGGCCCTTAATTTTTTCAAGAGTGTGAGTGATAAATAAGCTCTTACAATGTATTTTTTGCGTTTTTGGTAGTGCCCGGTACAGAAACGAATAGTGCATTCGGGCAGACGCTACTGGGTGGAATCGAAAAAGCAGGTGGTATTGAAGATAAAACCATAAATGCGATTTGCAAGCAGGCTGGCACTCATTTCTTGAGTTTCTGGTCAGCAACACGGTTGGACAGAAGACTTCGGAAATGATCTTAAAGGCGCTGCGAAGCGGAGTGGTAAACGATGCGTGTCAATGCAAAAAGAAGAAATCGTAAACCGCTCGAACAAGGAGATGGAGAGACATACGATAAAGGAGAAAACAGAGAAGAAGCTCAGAGGGGCACAGCTGTTTTGATATATTAAATATATAGTACTCTTTTTCTAATCCTCAACTCCAAAATCTTCAAATCATAAAACTTAAACATAATTACAGAAAAATAACCGGGTTATTTTTGTTTTTCCCTCATTTTCATCCTAGGTTAGTCCCTCCAATCTATCAAGTGCTTTCGGTTACAGATTTAGTTTTCGTTTTGATATCATCCGTAGCCGCCCATCTTCGCTCGTGTTACAAAAATCTTCAGTATAGGGTAGATTCTTCGTTCTGATTTCTACTCTTCTCTGCAATGAAATCAAATTAGGTACTCAAACTGATACTGAACACCTTGCGGTTGCGAAAACCGCGACCGCTTTCCTGCCCACAGGAGGAGAGAAAGTGGTCAGAAATTGCCTCGATCTAGCACGAGACCTTTAAGTACGGTTTCGCGATTACATAGACGCGTACCAACTTCTGTGCGCTCCCCCCAAGCTCGCTTAACACTACGACATGCCTACTTACCTGTTACTTTTGGACATGCATTATAACGCGAACGCGATAGTCATAGTTGTTTGAAAATGAAATTATAGCAAATGTGCAAATAGCAAATGTGCGATGGATGCATCGCTTTAGCTATGATCCGATCGGGCGCGATTTGAATTCGAGTTTGTTCGATATCAGCAGTCCTTACATGAGTTGCTGTTCCGGTAATGGAATTGAAAGCACGAGGAGATACAATTTTCTCAAGACAAGGTAAATACTTTTGAGTCACCAGGAAGTGGGAGAGAGGTGTAAATAGTGCTGAGTCACCAAGACACAGAGAGAGATACTTTCGATAGAAGGAAAGCCTCAAGGTGTTGCACAAGATGCTTTGCTGTCTGCTGTGTGACTGCCCTCCAGTGCGAGTAACGTATGTGACTTTTTGTTCAGTCCTCCGCCAGGCAAACGCAAGGAAGAAGCACCTCTTCTACCCCCATAGGACATTGAAAGCGGCCCTGCTTTTCCTTTCTTGTCCAATATAGTGCTAAATTAATGTGGTGGTATATTCAGTACATGTCATGGGTTTAAGAAATCCACCTCATCATCATTAGGATTAAAACAACAATTCTACTGGGACTCTGTTTCAGTCAACTTGTTATTGTTTCCTCTTCCACTGATATTCCAAATCCAAAATGTCGTCAACAGAGACAGCTAATAAGCTAAAGATCGCCTTGCTGAAGCATCCATATCGAAAGCTAATGCAGTGGCAGCTGAGTCGAGTAAAGCCGGAAATGGTTACCGTTCAAGTGAACAACGACGTCAAGAGAGTTCACAGCCAACAGACATTACTGCAGAGCTGCCATAAGGATTTCAAAAAGAAAGTCCCGTACTTTTACGTTCGTTTTCTTGTACTATCTTCTGGTTCTATATGAAGAAATAAATACAGACTTGAGCAGGCTTCGATTGTAAAGTTGTAAAAAGTGTTTAGTCCTCCGGGCTGATGATTGAGATGGACTAGTGATAATCTATCTCAGACTCAGACTACGACTAGGCTCTTGTTCTTTGAGCTTGCTGTTGCTATTGATTTTTATAAGATCTTCCTATACTTCAGTGGCAGTTGCAGATATTATTGATGATGATAGAATACTCACAACCTACAACTCATACAAGTGTTTCCTGTTGAAGAGGGTCACCTCCGTCAGTTATGTGGACAAGGACGAGGACGGCGTAACTAGTCTATGCAGCTAGTAATGAAAAAGAAATTATCACCCCATCATTTTGATTTTCAGATTCAATTGTCGAGCGGGAATATGTGGAGCATGCGAAGCACAAGTGGCATATGGCCCATTAGGCAAATTTTCGCAGGAAAAGCTTTGTTATACTCCAGTGAAAGACGGCGTGCGCGTTCTTACACTTGATCAGGCAATGATGAATTTCAGGCAAGGAACAGCGGACGAATAGCATGCGATCTTGACCATCCGACTAATAAGTAGTTCAAGGGTACCGTCAATCCATCTCTCAAAGCACCATTTAGCCAGTTTCTAGTTGAAAAGTGCTGAGAGACGTTCTAAAAGATGGGCTGCCGGTACCTGGCTCTAAGTGATTGGTCAGCATTAGTAATTACAGCGATTTATTGCTGTTTCTCCTCAAGAATCTATTGATGAAAGACAACCAGGGACTACTTCTAAAACCACAAGATTTGACAGAATTTTGCTGATGCTGTTGCTGGAGGTTGTAACCACATATAATGCAACGGCTATAGCGGAAGTCACGTATGAAGTTTGAGAAAGAAGCATCCGCATTAAGACACACTGCACAGATTTTGATTTTCTTCAACGCATATAATCCCCATATATTAGAGTCGGATGTTTGAGCGTGGTGATGCCGACATGATAATGAATTTTCATGAATAAGGCAGGTGAGTAGAAGCACTTGTATGATGTCACCGCACGACCCGCAGCCAGAAAAATACTCATACGTCTGTGACGATTGAGAATATCACCACATGCACATGCTACAATAGTCGAGAAGCAGCTGCATTTTAAGCACAATCACTGTTGTCGTGACTTCCGTACTTCTACGCGCACCCACATTTTTACTTGGTTATCTGCACCAAGGATTGCAACCTGTAGCTCAATATTGGTCCCGGCGCTAGAAAGGAGGTCTGCGATCACAAACGGCAGTCTCCAAATTGGGTTTGGTTATGATGTCCATACAGCATTTTGCGGTGCCTGGCTGCCATGAACTGCAAAGGGTTTTCTTTGATCTCATTTCTTGTTCAAAAACTTTACTACAAGAAAAAACAAAAATTTTCGCGTGCGAAAAGCTTGAGAGAAAAAAAGTGCTTAGAGAAGTTGTAGAAGCCTGTCATTTGCGTCCGCAACAAAAGGTGGGTTGTATTGATCGGTAATTTTTGGGATTGTGACAGAAAAAAATGGAGTCGACGTCGACCGAATGTAGGCGGAGATAACTACCACTACGTCAAATCCACAATACAGTCCGAACATCCAAAGCGCAAATGGGACTACCTGGTGCTCACTTGACATTTGTAAGAAATATGTACTTATCAATGAATGTATGTAGTTGAAGATAGGTACGGAAAATGACAAAGTCAGGAAACAAATAGAAATAGAGGCACCATCAGGACAAACTCGAATATGCGCGCGCAACAACACAACGGCTGCTACCTGCTTTGTCTTCTCATTTCCTCTTTCTTCATTGGTGTATCTATTAGAGGTGGATCTGCTTCGGCTTCACTCCCGTAGTAGTACTCAGTTGTTTGTTTGCAAGAAGTAGTCAGGCCAAATATAAATATGACCTCCTCGACGCGATCAGTGTCTAAAGGCCGAGAGCGGTCAGAGGGTCCCGTCAATCGCGGCATAACAAAAACGCTAGAACAAGAAAGCACGCATATGGTACGTACGACGTCTACATGTACGACTCTAGTTTTTAATCGGTGAGTGAACCCCATGATGTTTTTGTTCTGATCCCTTCCCTGTGAGTGTGATAGTAACTGATGGTGGCTTCGACGCAAGCTATGCGTAGAAGTTCAAACTCAAGCACTGAGTTTTCAGCTTCAAAGGTACAATTAGGAGTTTTAACGACTAATGTGTCCATGTTAATGCTCCAAACTTCTAAGACTACAAATATATAATGCGGCTTTTCTTCTTTTATGGATATGGTTATGCGGTTGACTTGATCTGGATGAGGTAGTAGAGCACTGTTGTTCACCGCATGCATTTCGATTTACTTCATTTTCAGGAAAAAAAGCTCGCTCTTCTGCGGGATATGATTCAATTAGAGGAGCAGCAGCATGCAGCGAGAAAAGCCGACGGGAAGTCAACGAACTGGAAGTCTGCATCCACAGCAAAGCCGTTGCGTCGCGGCTACATAGACGACCATGTGTCTCTTGTGGCTCAGTCGCGAACTAAGGCAGGTGGAATCGGAGCAAGCAAACTTGTTGGCAGAGCGGGAGCTGCTGCGAGCAGTACAATGTCCGGCATAGTGCCGAGTGGGGGTGCCGTTCAAAAACCCGTAAGCAGCGCGCCGAAGCGCATGGCCACTAGAAATAGCGCCGCGGCTAGTGGGAGCGCAGGTACTTGTACTCGTACGTGGTAGGTGTTGATATTTTCGTCATCGTGTCATTCTCGAGACAACATTATTGCCACTTTTTGCTGATAGTGCCTATTTCCCTAGTCGAATTCGGTAGAAGAAGAACTTCCATGAACAAGATCATTTTTCTTGTTCCACAGCTTCTGCGCCCATAGCTAAGCAGAATGCCAGTAAAGTAACAAGCGTTGAGGCGGGTAGTGCAGCCTCTGCAGGCGGCGTTTCTCCAGAGAAAAATGAGCTTCACGATTTCGTCGCCTCGCTGTACCATGCACCGAAAGTGCGACCCCTGAATCCTGGTGCTGAAGTGGAGGACGCCCCGTCTCGAGATACCATAAATGCACATGGCAGTGACAGCGTAACTAGTATCAAAGGTGGACAAGTAGCAGAGCAGGATGTGTCTTCTGTGACAAATACGAGCAAAGCTAGGCAGCTGAAGCCGAGTCGCATTCCAGGACCACCTGGAAGTCTCCAGTCTTCGAACAGCGATACGCCCAGCAAAGCCGCTCTCGGCGCTGGTGGTGGTCGCGCACCCGTGCGGTCGCGAGCAGGGTCACAGAGCACCTCAGCCGCTGGTTCCGCAGCAACATCAGCGACAAGTATTGACGCGCCAGCGGTGATGACATCTGACGAACTGCGCGCGTTCATGCGCGACCGCGAGCGTAAGCCGATGATGCCAGATGGGCATGGGGATCATGAAGTAGACAATAGCAGTAATGTATCGCCGGCGTCTAGGAGCAGAGCATTCTCCGGCCAGAGCAGTCATGGCAGCCAGCAAAATCATGAGAGTGTAAGTCCTGTACGCCAAGCTTCTTCGAATCTCGCGGCAGCCCTGGATCGTCAAAAGGCCGAGTTAGCGGAAGTGCAAGAGATTCTAGCTGAGCTAGCTTTGACCCGCTACCAAACGGTTTTCGAGGAGAACGGGTTTGACTCGAGAGAAGTAATGCTGGAAATGACGGAGGAGCATATGCAGGAGCTGGGCATGGCCCTCGGTCATCGCATAAAGCTCCGGAAATGGATACACGCGACTCGGCCAGGGGGTGCGCCAGATCAGGGAGGTACTCCTGGTGTCATGTCTCCGGCAAAAACACTGCGTCCACCGCCTGGTGTGGTCATTGGAGGGACAACAGTGAACAACCAGCCGAGGATGGTAGCAGCCGCAGGTGCTCAAGCAGGAGCTTCCCGGAGCGAGGAGAACAACGGAGGAGTTGTTTCAATAGCGAACAAGCAGCCGGGAGCGCCGAAGGGGATCTTGAAGAATAAAGACGACTCGGGAGCGACGACGTCGTTTGCTAGTAATTCGTTGTTGGATGGCGAGTATGATGAAGCGGCGGAGGCAGCGGCATTCAAGGAGGCTGTTATGGCATGGCGAATGCAAGGAAAAGCGGATGAACAAAGCTCGGCTGCCCGGACTCAATCCCAATCCTCCGAAGCTGTTGGAACGGCTACGTCGTGGTCGCCGACGAGTAAAAATTCTTTTCTTTCGTCTTCTACCGGAACCGCCCGTCAGCAGGCTGAGGGGGGCTCACTGGCGTCGTATGGGAGTGCAACGCTTCAATTCGATAATATGTTCGCCAAGGCAGACAGCCTTGGTGGAGGTGCAAGTCCGAAAAACGAAATTACGCTGGAGTCTGGTGGTGGTGTTCTCTCTCCGTTGGCCAAGCAGGTTGGCCGCGGACGGGATGGCCTCGTCGTCCTTCGGAAATGCTGCTACTCGTGCTTTATGCAATTTTATGACGGAGAAGGTATTATTCTGCAGACTGGGATTAACGACAACAGCAACGAGCCGCCGAAAGAGGTCTGCAGTGCGGCATGTGAGCAAGCGGAACGGCAGAAGGAAATTCGCAAACAGGAGATAGCAGAACGACGGCGCAAGCAGATAGAGGATATGCAAGCGCAGCAGCGCGCGCGTGAGGACGAAAAAGCCCGGCTTCTCGAGGGAGCGCCACTCGCGACGGCTGATCGCGAAAAGGCAATGTTACTGGACGACACGACTGCAACCTCTGAGACACACACAAACACGCAAAATGACGAGGTTGATATCGATACTCCTTCTCCTTTTTTCACTAGAACCTCAGACGCTGAACAAAAGAATAGCAAGTCCAGTGAAGGTGGTGCAACGGCCTCGTCTCTGTTAAGCACATCCCCCACTACCACAGCACTGGTCGCCACTGCAGCAGGAGCTTCCACGGAGCAGAATACGAGCATCAGGATGATTTCCGCTGCTGGTGTGACAACGGTGATTGAGGCGTATCCAGCAGAGAGAGACGACTATCGCCAGGGTGGACCAGTACCAGACGGGCAATTGCGTGTGATTGGTAATTCCAGCTCAGACCGCGCGAGCCGCAGTCCTGTCAAGAGACACGCTGATGGCGTGAAGGTGATCTGGGAGAAGCCGCCTGAAAATGAAGTCGGTGAGACGTCATCAGCCCCCGAAAAGTTGGGAGCTACACCAGCACAACTAGGAAGTGCTGAGGGCACGACTAGTCCAGTAAAGCAAAACAGAACAGCCGCATCAACATCTGCAACAGGAGCTCCGATGGGCTTTGTATCTGCGCGATTGCCAATGCAAATCACGAGTTTGCGACCTCCAGCAGCTCCGAAATCTTCTGATGCCGCTCCTAGCTCATCTTCGTTCTCGACAAATGGAGCGACACCTTCAAAAGCGTCACCCGCAAAACGAACTTCGATCTCGCCTGACAAGACCACAAGCGGGGATTTAGTATCCGCAGGAGCTGCTCTTACAACTGGCGGTGGCTGCGAGGATATGGATTTGTGTTCAGGAAACTCGTCAGCACGATCGCGAAAGGACGACGCTGGTGACCGGACGAGGCCTGTGCATGATGATGTTGGTGATCATGACTCTCAAGATCGACTTCACGACCGTAGAGACGTTCCAGACAAAGACTATGCGCACAGGAATGACGCAGACGAGGACATTGATTTTGCTGCAACAGTGACATCCGACTTTGAGTTTGCAGCTGCCGCGGTTGCGACTGCTGCGGGACCACGTAGGATTTCCACAAACAACGCTAAGCCTCAAAGCCCAGGACAGCGAGGCAGCGGAGCAGCACGCTCCAGTCGTTGCGCAGGCGGAGGAAGCGTGCGCAATGCTGGTCCGTCAACACTGCTGTCGCGAAATAACAAGCAGCCAGACTACTTGAAAGATTCATCGATGACGTCGCAGTGTTCGTCGCCAACGAAAGCAGACAGAGAAGACGACAAATCGATGATACAGAAATACCAGGGGATGGATGCAGTCTCGATTTTAGACCAAAACTTGGTCTTGAAAGTCTCGGATGAGGAGGAAGAGGGCTCACGAGTGGAAGAGCGCAAAGGTTATGCTTACTTATTTGAAAGTGCAAGTAAGGAGATCTCAGAGATCAAGTGGGGGTGCAAGTAGATCTTTCTTATTTGAAAGTGGAAGTAAGGGGATCTTAGTCTTAGAGGTCGCCGAGAATGTTGGCTTTGGCATGAGCATCAGAGAAGGACAGAACAAGCCAAACAAACTTCATCCTTTACCTTTCGTTTTGCGTGTTATTACTTGATTCGATTTGTGTTGATGCTTATCTTCTAATAGTCGAAGCAGCATTATAGCCATAGCACAGAAAGTGCAGCTTCGTTTTTCGAGCGTTTAAGAGAGGACGCGGAGCTCCAAGACTTTTCTGCTGGTTTGTCGATGGCAGCATCGCTATACGAGACTGAAAAATAGCAGCGGGGGCCTGCAACGAGGTTGTCACACGCAGCATTTGGCGTAACATTAGATGATGGAGTGCGCTGATGCTGCGCAAAGTACTCAAATCAAGGGCAAGAAGTGCGTGACAAAGCGTGTGTACTTCCGTCCGAGGGATTCTAGTGAACAAAAACAAGTAGAAGCAAGTACTTAAAAGATGAACTCAGCATCACGGATAGCATGCGCCGCAAACCTACGGTCTTGCTCGCATTTGCAAAGTATGTAACTGCGACTTTTTCTTTCTTTCCTTTTCGTTTAACTTTTCTTACGGTAATATAGTTCATGGGGTATGTGCGGCTCGGAATTATTTTAGGCAGGAAGAATGTAGTAGGCTGTGTGTTGATATGAGGTAGAAGCACATAGTCGGAAATGAAATTCGGTGTAACTGTAAGGGGTCGCATGTTCCAGTTCGAAAAGCGGTGTACAGTCGAGTTGCTTTTCGAGCAACCGACCCATCAAAAACAAGATAGATTTTACACACGAATGCTAAGCAAAGTAAGTGCGAAAACCGGTTCCTCTTCAATCTTTTCGCAAAAGCAGTAGACTGGAACTGTTGAATTTTTTTCCGAATAGTTGTTTGCAAGAGAAAGAATACGGGTTAGCCCTAGCCAATGTTATCGTGTTTCCAGAACATAAACATAATGATGTCGCGCTGCACCTTCAGACTTTTCGGCTTCGCCCTCTTCCACCTAGTCTCTGAGGTGCGTCAAGTTCTGAGTTTTTACTACAGCGAACTGGACGACGCACTGTTGGCAGACGCAGATGCGGAACGGGTCCAAGGAGAAGATCTACTACTAGCGTTACAGCAACAGCGAGATGTTGTTGCGACTCCTGAAGTCGATCCGCTTGTTGGAGACGTGGTAGGTCATACAAGTATCGGAGGAAAGGAGAACGAGGAGGATGCCACCGAACAAGCGGTATTGGCTTCCTCTCTCGCGGATCTCGTGTCCGCTTGGCGGCACGAATTCCAGAAGATGCAAGCGGAACATGAGAGTGGACTTCTAGAGGACAGCGAAACACGTAACGACCAGAAGCACAGCCGGCGTCATCGGGTACAACAGCACCGCATGTTGACCGATATCGGTAAGAGCATTCACCGTCGGGGAGAACGTCATGCTGGAGAACATCGACGCAGCCGGCGTGTCCGTGATCTTCAGGCTGCGGATCACCTCGACGACCGCCTAGAAGAAGACAGTACGAGTTTTGCTTTCAATGCTGGTGAAGCTCGCAGCGGGGACACGGCGGCAAATGCAAGAGGCGGCAGTAGGAACTACACTAATTTGGTGTATACGCCTGCGCGCAACATCTATTGCTTTCATGGCGAGACCACTTGTCCCTTCAAGAATGCGGATGCGCTCAAAGGAACGCGAATACTGATGAGCGCAGAGAAGCAGATCTACGCTCTGTGGAGCAAGTTGCGTTTCGCTACCGTATTGTTATGGAAGTAGTAGTAGTTGTAGTTTTTGGTTTTGCTGCTGGTTTCTGACATAGGGTATCTATTAGTAGAAGTGGTGTGACTATTACGCCAGCACAGAACTAGAAGCCAACAAATTTTGGGCGGTGCGGCGCGTATCCGTATGAACAGGTTGCGTTTATCTTTACGCAATTTGATTCTGAGCGTTTTTTTTAACAGTAGCATGATAGAAGAAACATCTAACTCATGTGGTCTTTTTCTTGCTACCGATGCTTCTCATCTGCGTCCTTGCGCCTATGCGAAAAGTGGCGTCTCATCCGACTTCCAAGTTTGCGGTTGGTCAGACAGCTCATTTTGTCGGCAACTTCATTCTCTCTGTTGTTACATGCGACTGCATGGATATATGGTAGTACAATATGAAAAATATTTTGATTCTGTTGCTGATGGAGGTGGACATGGACCTCAGGTAGCGGAGGTAGTTTTAAGTGTCATCTGCGCTCTTTCTTCACTTGTTAGTGTCTGCTGTTCTTTTGACCCGTATATAATCGTACTAGCCTCCACAAGCTTCGCCCGGCACCGCCTCCACGTTTAGCACTTCTTCGCCCACGGGCTAGCACAGCTAGAGACAGCCCGCGGGCTGGGTAGTGCACCTCGATGGAGTGACTATGGCGAGACTGCTGGCACTCACGTACTTAGCTACGCCGATCCGTGGGAAGCTAAGCGGGCAGATTTCGGCTATATATTGGACTACCAGGGGAGGCAAACAAAAAAACTGGAAGAGAACCACCAGACACGCATGAGGACCCGTAGGGCCCAGCCAACGCCTCTAGCCGGCCTGCGGTGGCAGGCAAGAGCGAGGGCAGGGGGGCCTTACCTTGACGGGCCAAGAAAAAGCAGCACATGTCTGCGCTGGCTGGGTCTCTCTATGCGCAACTGTTGCGGCTCTGTCCTTCGTCCTTCCTCGGTCAGAGAGTTTCGTCAGACCGACGCCCTTCGTCGGGCCGTCTACCTCTCTTCTATCGTCAGGCCGACGGCTTGTGTCTGGCTGACGTCTTTCGTCAGGCTCGTGGCGTTTCATGTCGTCGGTCTGATGTCTTTCGTCAGCCTTCTTTCGTCGGACGACTTCTATCCCCACCTTGCGCCCCTACCCCGTCGGGAATTTTTCGGGCTTCCATCTGGAAGTATGTCCGGAGGCCTTCTCGTAAGTTTCCGCAAGAAAGGCCGGAGACTATCGGGTTGGCGCTTGAGGGGCAGGGGGCGGAGGCTGAAGATTCGGATTAGTCTTCCGTGGGGAGTTTTGTGGCGGGGGTCAGTATACTTCTGTGGCTGTGCAGGAGCAAAGACACTGGAAGTACTTAGCGTGTAGCTGAGGAGAAGGCACCGATGTAACTACGTGTTCAAAAGTCACCTTGTCGAGGAGCCAGACTTTTTGCAATGTTTTAGGCCTATCAATTATACTAATTTTATTTTTTTTTCGTCGAGATGTTGTCACGAGTTTTTGATGAAATCGAATCAATCAAAACCCCAATCGCTAGTTGACGACTACTACATTCTTTGTTCTACTTTCAGCGATCGTCGGCACAGACTGCGGAGCAAGGCGGACGACGTCACTCTACTCGAAATGCATGAAGGCAACCCTGTACTTGCGACTCCTGACAAGAAAACTCAGTTTCCGCTCACGGAGGAAGTCACTGAGATCCTTCTGCACGCCCAACGATATCGGCAAAAACTACGTGTCGCGACTCAGATATTAGATGAGTCCTCGGGAGCAGGACCGTTGCCGGTCGTTGCCGGGGGTGCTGCAGGTGGTGGATCGTCAGCAACCGATGCGCTCGTCCAACCGCCTCGAGCGTCGCAAGCCAAGGCGGGGATCACCTAACTGATATCCGGACGAATACGGGTACGCGTTATCATAATCTGGACCTTCTTGTTGTCCTTCATCGCGCCCCGGTCGGCTCTTAGCTGGCGCTGCTCGAAGATAGATGTAGAGTCCATCTTTTGACATCTCAAGCGCATGTATGAAAGTCCGTAATTGACAAGGCGCGGCAATCATGTTCTAGATTGACAAACAGCTTCAGCCGAGTAGCTTCTTTGTGGTAGGTTTCATGATGGGTATTCTTCTTACCAAGTAGAAGTAGCAATAGGAGCGAAGACTAAAATTTGGAACTCAACACCTCCAAGATGATATCTATACATAGATATTGATTATCTTGTTCAGGGTTCGTCATTTTCATTTTGTTCCGAGAAGCAGCATCTCCATGTAGAAAGATGTACTGAATAGATCAGGGTTGGGACTTGTTGTAACTCTACTTATCTACGTGTTTCGAGGTGATGTTGTTTGTATGTAACACAGGTATCGATTTCATCGTGTCTGGAAAGTTTTGTAAAGATAGTCATAGCGTTGATGTTCAAATTTACTAGCTTGGAGCGTCCGATAACATCCCTCCCACTAGGATCCTCCTCCTCCCCAAAATAAGAAAATAAACAAGGCAAAGATGTAAGCGATATGCGTTGTCAAATTTCGAAAATTTTCCACGTTTTGCCATCGTTTGCGGATTGGATCGCGTGCGTTTGAAGTCAAGCGCTAAGATCCCAAAACTTTTGGACTTTAAGCCCTTCCGCTGAAATTCAGC